TCACTGGTGTCAAGATGCAGATGGCTGGGCCTCACCACAGATCTGCTGAGTCAGAATCTTTCAGGAGTGTGGTTGGGACTGCCCTGTCCATGGGCCTCCGGGGGCTCCTGATGCCCAGCACAGGGTGTGAAGAAATCTTTGTTGTTGGTGTGGTCCTTTTCTATCTCATTAAGTGTGGGGGCCACTTAGATTCTCTAGGCTGTTCTGTTAACCCCCCTCTCCAGTCCCCTAAAGCCCTCTCTGCACTGCCTGCTCAGCTGCCCTGGGTTCCCCTGCTCTCCCAGCCCAGCGCTGCTGAGCGGGGCTCTCACTGTGCTCTCTTCTCTGTTCAGGCCTGGGCGGCTGCCGCTTCGAGACCAGCCCAAATGAACAACTCTTTTTCTCCCCTCCTGATACAGGACTCGCTGCCAGAGAAACTGGCTGTGCACGAGAAGAATGTTCGAGAATTTGATGCCTTTGTAGAAACCCTGCAGTAAAAGTTGGTGCCCTCGAGTACCAGCAGCAGCCCCCTTTTGTGGTCCCAAGAGACAGAGAGCCTCCCAGTCATCAGCTGCTCCCACCCCTCGTCCTGCTCCAAGCCAGGTGAAGGGAGGCCGGTTTCCCCCATGGGGATCCAGAAGTCCCTGCTCTCACCTCCTGGATTCTCTATGGCAGCAGTCAAGCCCAGTTAGAACGTTTGAAAGGGCTCACCCTCTGGCCTTGGAGATGGGAAGACCCTTTGCAACAAAGGGGCCCTCTGGCGGGCCATCTGCTTCCACTGCTCGTCAGCAGCTGCTCCAGTGAGGCTGTCATCCCGTCTTCCCCAGGTCTGCCCTGCAGCTGGCCCCTTGTCCACCTGCCTGCCTGCTATTACCACCAAACCATTCGACGTTCCAGCTGGTGGCCCAGACTAGCGTGGAGGCAGGAAGAGGAAGGAGACATTGTGGGAGGAAGAAGGAAGTGCTACTTCAGGCTCTTGGTTGTCTCCTTCATTTCTGTATCTTCTTCTTCTCTCCCTCCCTTTGCTCCTGTGCCTGTATTTTTGGCAATATGATGCCATCCACCCAAGATGAGAACTCCAAAGTCAGCCATTCCCATCTTTCAAGGCTGTGCTAGCCCCTCCCTTTACAGAAGGTCCAGGCAGCCCCGGTGGCTGCGTGTGCTCAGCCCCCTGCTGTGTAGGCATCTCGCTGTGACTGCAGGCCTGGGGGCCACAGCAGAGGCTCTTCTCATCTCTCCCCTCCCCCTGTCGCCGCTCCTTGGTTATAGGACATGGTAAATATTTATTACTTTTGAAGACAGGTATTTTATAGAGAAAATATGTTTCAGGTGAGGTGTTTTCACTCGGGGAAGGTGATGGGCCTCCTCCTGGGGCAGGGCCTCTGCCTGTGCAGGTTCCTCAGGCTCCGGGTTGCTGCTCTGGGGATCTTCTGTCCCGTGTGCTTTAGGTGGGAGCCAGCACGGGGCTGGTGAGGGCCGCAGGGCCCCCCCAGGCTTGCTGCATTTGAACTGACAACAGGCTTTACCTTCGATGCCTCTGTTTCCGGTGAGAGCCTTGGAACTCTCTCGGCTTCTGCAGTGACTGACTTTGATTTGGCAGCTTGGGAAGCCTTGGGTGCTAAACGCACCGACTCCCTAGAGTTGTGCCGAATGTAGTGCCCACTGGTGAGCCCAGGGAAGTCCAGGCAGGCCCCTCCTTCTGGGGTACTTGTTCCTGTTTCTCAGGGCTGGGTCATGGGCCCTTTCCTCCTTTCACCTGGGCCTGGCCACCACCTTTCTTTAACCCCAGGGTCTGTGCTGCCCCCTGAGGTTTACTGGGTGTAATGGGTCCTTGTTGAGAAGCTGAAGCTGGGCGAATGATCGACCTAACCCTTCAGGTGTTGTTACTTGAGTGAGTCAGGTGCCTGGCCTCACCCTGTGCCATCTGTCCCCCTCCCAGCCCATTGGTAGTCCTGGGCGTGGAGAGCTGGGCCTGCCCCATTTCTCCTGGTCCACCCGGGGTATTCATGGGGAGCAGCTGTTCTGCAGTGGAGCACGTCGCCCTCAATTGCTTGTTAGTAAATGCATGTGACATCACTCCCACCTGCAAGGCTGATCTCCAAGGGCTTGAGTGGGCTCATACACTGTCTCCATTAGCCTGAGCCCTGCCCCTATGTGTGTGCTCTGCTGCCACAGAGAAATGTTCTCAGCAGTGTCCAGCTGCCCTCCTGTCTTCGGACCAAAGGACAGGACATCCACACTGGCTGAACCAATCAGGTTTACCCCCAGGGGCCCCAGCGCTGAGAAGAGTTGAGGCCCACTGTGGGTTACTAATCGACCCCCACCCAGCTCCAGTGTCTCAGCTGCTGCCCTCCTTTTGAGGCCAAGCATGGAAAGGCCAGTTTGTGTTAGCTGTTGTCCTCTTTGACTTCTGCTAGTTGGCCCGTGCAGGCAGCAGCCTGTCTTCAGGACCCCAGCGGCCAGAGGCCAGGTGGGCTGAGCCTGGGAGGAGCAGAGCAATTGTCAAGGCCGGCCCTTGCCCCTCAGCCCTGTACAGTAAAAGGCGTGAGCCCCAGACTGACCCCAGCACGGGGCTGGGAACGGCCGTCTGTCTCCAGGTGGCAGAGCCCCTCCCCCCTCCCACCTCCCTTCTTTGGAAATACTGTTATACTTTAAAATGTATTCAAGAGATTTCCAATAAATTTTTTCTGTACTTTACAACTTTCTGTCCTGCATTTGTATAAAATCCTAGCCCACAGCGTCCCACTTCTGTGCAGACATGGGGCACCGCCAGGCTCCTCGGAAGGGGAGGTCATGCAGTACACAGCGGGACAGGGCTTCGAGTCAGGCAGGCTGCTTTGAGGCTTGGGGCTGGTCAGGAAACCTCTGAGCCTCATTTCCCTGGACTGTAATGTTCCCATTTCGGGGGCTTTTATGTGAATGTTTAGTGGGATGATGTGTATGAGGTAGACGTACCTGTGTAGGAAGGAGCTTACAGTGAAATCCCCACTGGCAGCTCTCTACTCCCCCTACGCCACAGGGCTCACCCTTCAGCCTGGCCTGGAGGCAGTGGAAGGCCTTGGGCTCAGAGGAAAAGACAAAGGTCTCTGCTGTGTGTGTAGGGTGGGGCTCCCCAAGTTGCCTGGGATCTGTATGCCAGTCAGTATGAGGGGTTTTGGCTGAGCAAACCAGACCAAAGGGAAGGGATTAAGTGAGTAGCAGGAAGTCAAGGACCTGTGCCAGTTAGTTTAACTGCCCAGGGCACTGGCATGGTCTCTGGGGAGCCCCAAAAGTAGAAGAGCCCTGCAGGATTATTCCTGTCCCCGCCCCTCTCTCACCTAGGCACCTGTGCAGCAGGCGTCTCGGCCCCACCCCTGTGGAGCACACTCCTGCCTCCTAGCTTGTGCCCACAGCAGGGGCAGGAAGCCGGAGCAGAGCCAGTGCCCCAGCGGCAGGGGTAGTCGTGGAGGTGAGAGACCAGCTTCCTGACAGACCTCGGCAGCTGCTGTCTGGGTTGCCTCCCCTCCCCTTCAGGCTGAAGCCTGGCCCCAGGACAGAGGAGGGCTAGCTGGAAATTTCTGATGTCGGCCCAAATCTGAGGCTGAAAAGAACAGGCCACCCACTGCTGCTGTGATGGGCTATGGGAGCCCTTGCTTGTCAGTAAAGTACATGCGACACTGACTACACAGCCAGTCGCGATGCAGTGGCAAGCCCCTGGGTTCGAAGTCGTGGCATGACATCTGGTGTCCTCGCCTTCACTTGGGATCCCCCAGAAGCAAAGTGTTCGGTGTCCCCAGGCCTGATGATGGTGTCCAGCACCTCTCAAGCATCTTCCCACACTGTCCCCAGAGACCTGCTGTTGCCAAGACAGAGGTAAACTGGCTTTTGAGTCACTGGGCAGAGGCCCTGCCAGGAGCCCAACCCAAGTAAACAGCTCCCTCCCCGTCTTGTGCTCCCGTTGCCCTGGGTCACAGCCCCTCCCTTCTAAACAGTTCAGTCAGTCACAGCCAGCTCTCACCTCTTGTCCCAGCTGCCTGGGTGAGGGCCCGGCTGCACAGCAGGACCAGCCTCCTGGAGCTCCGAGCCTGTGTGCATAACCACATCCTAACAACACAGCCATCCCTGCTGCTCCGGCCTGGCTCCCCCAGCCCAAGAGGCCCAACTGAGGCCTCCATTGTCTCCTGATTGCCAATGGCAGACAAGCAGCTAACTGCATGCACTTGACCACTGTGCCAAGAGAAATTCTGGCCCACCCCCTCCGTGACAGACCACTTTTTAGAAGTTGCGGTAAAATACACATAGACATTACTATCTTAACCTCTAAATCAAAGCAAAACCTCCGAAGAGGAAGGGAAAACAGGACCTTTCAGGATGTCCTTGTGAGCAGGGGGAACCGGCAGCTCGTTCCCCTGTGACATGATGGCCACTCTAGTTACCACTGGGCGGGCACCCCGACACGCACTGTGCACGCTATTTCTCACCCTTGGAGAAAGGAAGGCGCTGTCTCAGAGGTGGGGCCTTGTATGTACTGTCCAAGAAAATCCGTACTGTCCACGCCCCCGGCCCACTCCATTTGGGGGCAAGGGCGGCCCTGGTCATAGGCTACTATTGCATGTGGCAGCTGGTGGGAATGCTGCAGGTACCCAAATGGAAGGTGACTGTTCACATGGTGAAGAGGGTCAGAGAGCCGACCTAGCCCTGGCTGGTGTAGCTGGGTGGATTGAGCATGGGCTGCAAACCAGAGGGTCGCCAGTTTGATTTCCCAGTCAGGGCACATGCCTGGGTTTCGAGCCAGGTCCTAGTATGGGGAACATGAGAAGCAACCACACACTGATAGTTCTCTCCTCCTCTTCCCCTTTCTCTAAAAATAATAACTTTAAAAAAATCTGACCTCATACCCACTCACAAATAAATGAGAGGAGGAAGGGTGCCAGATGGGTGGGACAGGGTCTTCCAGACACCCCGTCTGCCCCTCTCACACAGCCACACCACATCCCCACCCTGCCCTGAACCTCCACGCCCACTTCTCTGACAGCCTGATGGGCAGTTTCTATCTCCATTTTTATTGAAATACAAAAAGTGCAAAGGTGAAATACATGATTGGTGCCAAGGAATTCATTAAGTGTGAATGTGAACACTTGATTCACAGTACAGGCCCCCACACCTCCCAGGTGCAGACCAGGGGGCAGGGGGCAGGGGAAAGACCACATAGATCCACTGGCTCCCCAGTCAGCGGGGCTGCGTGAACATCTGTTACGCAAAGGAGGGCGGAAAGCGGAGGCCTTTACCCAAGCTAGAGACGCAGGGACTGATAGGACCAGCAGCCGTGCCAGGTCCTGGGGAGCGAGCCCAGTGAGGTTGGGCCCAGGTCCCACCCAGCTCCCAAATGGAGGTGGGCTGGTCAGTGAGGACCCACACAGTACAGGCTCTGGCCAAGGCTGTGGGGACAGGGCCACTGTGCAGGAGTTTCCCTACTGCCAGAGGTCAAGACTGCAGGGGCGGGGGAGCTGGGGATTGCCAGAGTTCACCAAGGAGTGTAATGCTAAAGGACACAACTGCAGTGAGGGGCAGCCATCATCATGGGGGCCCGGGTTTTCTGAAAGACACCGGGGCCCTGGTCAATCTAACTTTTAGCAAAATCTCCACCCAGTCCCTCCAGGTGTTCCCAGCAGGAGGAAAGAGCCACCCCAGTTCCTGAGGCACCGGGTCACCTCCAGCCAGAGCAGAGGCCAGTGTGACTCCACAACAGACAGGACCACATGAGCCTTAGGCCCAGAAACCTTCCAGAGACCAGGCTTGGAGGCTGAGCCTGCCTGTCTGATCAGGCACTAGGGGTCCCTTGGGTGGGAGTGGCCCCTATCTCAAATGGGTGCTCAGACCCAGCCCTGTCACCCAAGCTGCCAAGCCTGGCAGAAGCAGGGGTCAGAATGTCCTGGGGGCGGTGCCACTTGGAAAAGGCTGACCAGGCTCTGTGGAAAAGAAGGCAGCAACAGAAGCCAACTCTAGCCTGTAATTCCTTAGCTGTGGAAACAGCCAAGGCCGAGCCGCTGGAAGGGTGGATAGAAGCAGGGTTCTGTGCCCAGGCCTTCCCCTGGACAGGGAGGGGCCTCAGCAGGGCTGTGAAGCCAGCTCGGCCTTTCACTCCCCAGCAGTCAGGAGGGGCAGACCAGCCCCAGCTACATCCCAGCCGGCAGTGATTTGGCATCTGCACTTGCCAGGGAAAGAGGCAGGAGAAAGCAGAAAAGGGACTGCGGGGGCCAGTCCTCTCACTGTAAGAGCCAAGGCCAGCTCTGCACAGCCCCGCAGGAACCAGGGATCCAAGAAGGCAAAAGTATAAGGCCAAGAAAAATGTCTCGTGGTCACAGGGAGGCCTCCAGGGCCGGTGAGGTGGGCTGGAAAGGAGGGGAGGAGCGGCTCAGATGGCTGGCTCCAGCTTCTATCTCCCGGGGCCTCAAGACCCCGTCCTGGGCAGGAGCCCTGGGCTCCCCAATGCCAGGAGGAAGGGTCCACACTGGGGCGATCAGAGAGGGGGGCTGGTGGGCAGGGGCTGGGCTCAGAGCCCCTAGGAGGCAGTGCTAGGGAACAACTCCCCTTGGTGATCCAGCAGGAACTTGGTAAAGGTGTTGATGGGGTTAATGGCCTTGAGAGTGATGGCAGCATCCTTGGCCCACAGCAGGTTAGGGCCAAAGACAACGGCCAGGTTAGTGTTGGTCATCTTATTCTGGTCACAGAGGGCAGACACCTGTGCAGGGCAATCAGAGGGCTGCAGCGAATGCCATGGACCCTGCCCCACCCTCCCCCACTGGAGCTCCGCCCCCAGCCCCCTCATCAGGTGGGCAGTGGAGTCTCACCTGCACCAGGAAGGCAGTGAGGAAGCGCAGCACCTGGTAGTTCTCCTCGGGCAGCGTCTGAAGGGCCTGCAGCGTCGCCTCCACTCTCTGGCTCTCGTCAATGTCTATGAGGAACGAGGGCTCAGGATGCGGGAAGCCCTCACACAGGACTCGAAGGGAGACCCCAACCAGGCTTCTTGGGGGACAGGCCAAACCTGCCTGCTCCAAGTGCAGCACAGACCCCGCAGAAGCAGCTCGGAGCTGGGGAGGGAGCGAGGGCACTCACTGAGGAAGCCCACCACGTGGGGGTAGAGGTCAAAGGTGAGCAGGGGCTCAGGAAGCTCCCGAAGGAAGGTCTTCAGGATGACCGCTGGCAGGTGCAGGTCATCGTACTGGTCAAAGTCCACAGGCAGCCCTAGAGGTGGGGGTGGGAGGGGAGGAGCTGGGCCTGGCCTGGAGGCTGGCAGCCCCTTCAGAGGCCTCCCCTCGTCCTCTGTGACGAGGGGACACAGGTTCAGGCCATCTGGGTGGCGTGGACCCAGCACACGCAGTTATTTCTTGTCTTCAAATGAACCTGAACCCGGGACCCGGGAGCCTAACCCACAAGGGAGCAGGACCCATGTGATTACACCAAATGCCACGAAACCTCTGCCAGGAAGTCTGGGGCCCTCACTGACCGGGCAGCCAAGAGCAGCGATCCCCCCGACAGTCGCACACATGCCCCCAAGCACACCCCCTCCACCCCCAGCCCCTACTCCTGCGACCTGGACCTCCCCGCAGGCCTGAACGCATCCCCGGACCACTCACCCATGTTGTACTTCTGCTGCACTTCCCGCACAACTTGGGTGTTGGCGGACCTCCGGAAAATCCCCTCCGTGGTGAGAGCTGGAAATGATGGGGCCTGGTGAGTCTCAGAGCTGGGGGGCGGTGTGTAGACTCCCCCACCACTCTGCCTTGGGGCTCCGGTCAGGGTGGGTGCTGGTGCACCCTGCCTGGTGGCTTCCCCAGGGGGCGGCCCTGGAGGCAGGGGGCCCCGCACTCACCATGGGCCTGTAGGTGGGCAATGGTCTCCCGGATCACTAGCGGAATGGGCTCCTGCTCTGGGTTCTTCTCCTGGAGGCTGTGGGGACAAGGGCAGTGAGCATGGCCTGCAGCCCGCCCCAGTCCCGGCGCCCACTGTTCCATACTCACTGCTGCAGTGAGACCCCAAACTGCTGGTTGGGCAGAGGGGGCCGCGGCGGCATGGGCTTGGGGGCCGTGGCAGGGCTCTTCTGTGTGGACTTCAGGAAGTCATCGTACCTGGGGAGCGGGCGGGGTGGTCAGGCCCTCTGCCTGGCCCTGTAGTCACTGGGCAGCCCTTGTCTGCCAGCACTTGTGTGCTCTTTCGTGCGGTTCACTTTATTCAACCCTCGCTTTCCACACGAGGATGGGAGAACTTTAGAAAGGGTCAGTCACATGGCTTCTAAGTGACAGAAATGGGATTTGAACTCTATGACCACCCCCCCAGGCTGTCTCGTAATCACTGTATTGGCTTCCTCTGCTTGCCCTGGAGGTCTCAAGGCTTTCTCCCCGCTTGGCTGGCGCACCCCACACCCACGAACAGGACCATGTACACAGATGCCCCCAGGTGGGTGCGCACAGTCCCTGGCTGGCCTCACTTGAGCACTTGGCGAGGGATCCCCAGCTGCTCCAGCTTCACGTGCTCACTCAGCTCGCTCAGGTAATTCACGTAGAAGATCTTCTGCCCAAACTTGAAGCTGCCGACGGAGGAAAGGGAGAGGGTCCGGAAGTGCGCCGGCTGGGGCAGGCCTCCACTGCCCCTCAGCGCCCCACCGTGATCAGGCAGTGGCCACCCCACACGGGCCGTCCCTAGGACGCTGGCCCTCCCCCGGCACCTGCTTCGGAGTTCACGGGGTGGTGCGGGAGACCAGCACTCCGCCCTCAGCCCGCTCACCTGATGATGGGCTTAAAGAGGATGAGCAGCGTCTTGATGAACATGGTGGGGTGCACGATGTACAGGGCCTTGATGTTCTTCTTGTACCTGTGCAGGCACAGGGGGCATCAGCAGTGGTGTGCCTGGGGCGCCGCAGAGGCAGGCTTGTAATGGGCATTTTCTGATTTGACTATTCATGCAAGCCTGCAAAGTGTCGTTGTTGCTCCATTTTACAGATTAGGAAACAGAGGCTCGGAGCAGTTGTGTAACATAAAAGGTCACAGAGCGAGTAAGTAGAGAAACTGGGATTTAAGCCCAGGCCATTCCAACTTCAGATTCTTTGCATTTAATCCTGGGTGTGAGCACCTGACTCCCCCCAAGGCCTGGAATGAGCTCCCGCCCAAGTACAGGACAGCTCAGGGCCCGACTGAACGGCTAGCTCCAGAGCCACGTGCCCCGGGGCCCCCACCCACTTGCGGTCAAACTCCCGGTAGGCGTCTCGGAGCCAACTGAGCGAGGGCTTGTTGTCGCTGGTCAGGCCGTGGTGCAGGTAGAGCAGTGTGTAGTCGCTCTCCACGTACTGGTCCAGCGTGTGCTTCAGGTACCTTCAGGAGAAAAGACCTGCTTAGGCCTGCCCTGCACACAAGGGGGTCCCTTCAGACAGAAGCGGGTGTCCCAGGGTTCTCCCGCTCTTATCGCACCCCCTCCCCGGGAACCCCTGACCCTGCGCTGCCCATCGTGGCTGCGTCACCTGCCACCGTGTCGTGGAGAAGGGTTGTGGCCGGGCGGAGCAACAGCAATAATATCGACAGCTCTCCATTTTGAGCACGGGCTACAGGTCAGGAGACCAGGACTCTAACTGGCCAGAGTGTCCCCTCCCCTGCTCCAATCACTGGCCTTTTTGTGGACTGAAGAACCACATCTCACATCCCTATGCTCACAACGTGGCATCTCCCACCCCAAAGAAACACACACACAGTGTGGAGCCCGCCTCAGGCAGAGAGGTATGAAGAGAACAACCAAGAATTTCAGAAAGGGGGAGTCCAGTGGGATGCCCTCCTGCCAGGTGGCCAGCCCCAGGCCTCAACAGGATCCCCACTGGAGGCTGGGAGGCGGGAATGCTAAGGGCTCCCAAGGGAGGTAGGGAAGGGGGAAAGGGATGTGACCCAAGAATGTGACTCAGGGCCCTGATCTAACCTGGAGAACCATAACTTACTCAGTGGTCCATGGTGCTAGGCGGGCACTGAGGTGTCTAGGAATGAATTACTGTTGTGATACCAATCACTATTGCTAAACAATAACTTTGCAACGTTGAGAACTCTGCAAGGATCTGTCCCACAAAGATGGCATTTCACAGCGGCTCTGTGGAGCATGCCCGCACTTCCCCCCTCCCCCGCCCCGCCCCCTGCATGGTTTCCTTCCCTCTCCTTTAGAAGGTCCCTTCTTCTGCCTTTGTAACTTGTTCCCTGGGCCTATTTCTTCTACAACTCACTTCTCCCCCTGTGACTTTCCAAACGATCTTCCTCTTCTAATTTGAGTCTTGGCTCTGAATTCTTTCGTAGCCAGAACTCAGGTCCTGAGGTTGCTGAACTGAGGTCCAGTCGGACTCCACCGGTCTAACACCTGGAGCCATTCCGGCCCCCAAAACAAGCGAGCTCAATATACATTTTTGATTTGAAAAGACAGCTTTGCAGGTGACAGAGACAGCATCTGTCTCGTTCTAGCAACATAAAGCTATAGTCAAAAAAAGAAAATCCTGGCAGTGTGGCTTAGTGGGTTGGAGCACTGTCCCACACACCAAAAGGTCAAGGGCTCAATTCCAGGTCAGGGCACATAACTAGGTTTCGGGTTCGATCCCGACTGTGTACAGGAGGTGACTGATTGATATTTCTCTCTCACATTGATGTTCCCATCCCTCTCTCTCTTCCTTCCCCTCTCTAAAAATAAATAAAAATCTTTAAAAAATTAAAAAATATTAAAAAATAAACATCCTTTAGTGAGGATTAAAAATATTTTTTTAAAGATGGCACTTTGCAACTACGAAAGATTACTAGCTGCAGTGGAAACACAGTCATCCTTTGATGGATGTCGCAGCCCCTTGGAGGGCGGTGCGGGGTTACCGTCCGAAGCTGTAGATATTCCTACTCTTTGCCCTGGTAAATATGTCCAGAAATCTACCCTAGGAAAATAAGCAGAGATGAACGGAAACATTTGTGTAGAAGGCTGTTCATTGCAGCCTCTTTTATAATGGAAAAAAAAATCTGAGCAGCAAGCTACCTGTCCAACAACAGAGAGCAGGTCGAATAAATCACAGGGCGTCTATAAATAGAATGCCTCACAGGAGGCTCCTGCGGACAAAGCCAGGCTGTGAGTGCGGTGTCAGAACAGTGGTCACCCCTTCGGGTGGGAGCCAGAAGTGCGAAGGGAGGTTTGTGGGTGGGGCTGCCATGGGCGGGCTCAGTTTTTCAAAACCCATCAAGCAGTATACATACCTGGGTCACTTTTCTGTATGCGTTGCATATGTCAGTAAAAATTTTTAAGGGGTGTCTTTGATGACCATTTAATGCTCAGAAGATAAAAACATTAAGATATGAAACCTACTACAGAGCCCTGTATATGTTACTTAAAAAAGTAGGAAGCACATACGCTAAAATACTAACAGTGGTTTTCTCTCTGGGGGGTAGGTTTACGGGCAACTAATATAGTTTTAACTATAATATATGGTGGCACTTCACGCGTGTAGCTCACGTGATGCCTGCAGCGAGGCTGTGCGGCAACTCTTACGTCTACGGGGCTCAGGAGAGACGGGCCCGCAGGCGCACAGCCAGCGCGAGCAGAGCTGAAGACAGCTGGTCCTCCGCACCCAAGCCTCTGACACTTCCTGCTCCAGCCCCCAGACCGGGCGGACAGCTGGGAGAGCCAAGCTGCAGATGACCCAACTGAGAACAAGAGGGCAGGACTGACCCTTGTTGGACATGCCTCTCTGCTCCCACAGGGACTGTGACCAGGTCAGGTGGGGGGTGGGGAGACCTGTGGGGAACACAGGCCCGGACGGACGGCAGACGGCTTCCTGAAGCCAGATGAAGCCCCAGATTGGGTGCCACCTCCCTCCTCAGTCTCTCTCCTGGAAACTGGGTGCTTTCCCATCCCCATCCTCTGACTTCCTCATACTCAGACAAGTATCTGGCCAGGAGTCTGTCACCTGCTTCGTCAGATGTGTTAAAACTATAGCAAAACCGGGGGTTGGGGGACGTGAGACTCAGCCACCCTCAGGCTGAGCTCCCCGGCCTGCTCCCAGCTGGGCCACACACCTGGGACAAGGCTCGGCCTGCCCATTTGAGGAGTGGTGGGAAGGGGGTTCAGGGGGTCAAAGAGAAAAATGTCACACAGGGCCGGGGAGACTCAGGCCTGGTCCTTGCTCACTGGGGCTACAGAGACTCTGCACTCAGGCCCTTCCGCTGCTGTGCCCCTGGGCTGTGCCAACCCCTCACTACGCCCTCCACACACACAACCAACCGGTCAGGTTCCCAAAGAGTTGGTCTGGGTGGCGGTGCGGAATTTTCCATTTCAGGGAGTGCTTTGAACTGGTCGGGACAGGAGAGCGAGATGGGAACTGTTCCCACACAGAGGAGCACCAGGGGGAGGCCCCGCACACGCTGGGGGACCCGGCCCGCTCAGCCTGGCTCAGTGACGAATGTTTATGGGAACAGGGTTTGTCAAACTCCCACTTCCAATCAGCCTCTGGATTTGGGTCAGGAAGTTTCTAGACTAACCAGAGCTATAATACGTATTTGTCTAACAGAACCCAGACAGGATTTTCTCATATAAACGGGGAACAACCACAACCACATCGGACACCACACCATGACGGTAATCAGCCCTCACATTTGGACAGTATTTCACTTTTCAGAACATTTATGCATGCAGTACCTCACTCCTACAAGGAAGGAGGGCTGGCTGGTTATCCCCTGAAAAAAGTTTAGAAAAAGAGGACTAGAAACCAGGTCTGACTCCCCCAACATAAAACAGACCCCTTAGGAGACGAGGGGAGGCACTGAGGGAGGGGGCCTGGCAGCCCTGCCCCCCCACAGGCATGGAGAGTAAGGAAAAGGCCAAACCAGGGATCTGGGCACATGCCCCACCACCTGCCCTGAGGGAACTCACCCCAGGAGCTTGCTGTGGTCCAGCTGGTGGCTCGGGGGCATTCGGCAGGCACTGAACACAATGATCTTCCGGCCATACTTGTCATCTCCTAGGTGTGGAGACAGATGGAGCACAATGGGTAAAGATGAAACAAGAGAAGCAGGCTGAGGGCCTGAAAGGTAGACCAGTACCAGTTAGGACCAGGGCCAGAGCCCATGCAGATGCACCTCCGGCAGCTACCTGCACTCCAGGGGCTGTTGCTGGAAAAAGAGGGACAGGTTGCTCTCAGAGCTGCTAAGCTGGGGCATAAAAAGATAACACGGCTTTGGCTGGTGTGGCTCAGTGGACTGAGCACCTGCCTGCGAACCAAAAGGTTGCCAGTTCGATTCCCAGTTAGGGCCCATGCCTGGGTTGTAGGCCAGGTCCCCAGTCGGGAGCATGCAAGAGGCAACTGACGTATTCCTCACACATTGATGTTTCTCTCCCTCTCTTACTCCCTCCTTCCCCTCTCTCTAAAAATAAATACAATCTTTGTGGAAAAAAAAAAAAAGAAATAACGTGACTTTAAAAATCATACCTGGTGGAAGCAAGCGCAATGCCCACCAGCAGATAAGTGGGTAAAGAAAGGGTGGTGTATCCATATGATGGATACTGTTCAGCCGTAAAAAGCAAGGGAACACTGGCCCAGGCTACACTGAGTGAACCTTGAAAACACGATGCTAGATGAAAGAAGCCCATCACAAAGGGTTACAAATTGTATGATCCCATTTCCACGAGCTATCTAGAACAGGTAAATCCACAGAGACTGAAAGCAAATTAGTGGCTACCAAAGGCCGGGGCGGGCAAGAACAGAGCCCGGCTGCTTATGCGTACAGGGTTTGTATGGGCGTGGCCAAAATGCCAGAACTATGTCCAGGTCCACGTCACTGGGACTGCTAACAATTGCCAGAATGCACAACTAAAAATGGTTAATGCTATGTTAAGTGAGTCTCACCTCAACGTTCAAGTCACACCCTTCACAGTAATGCTGTCTTGCCAAACAATCACCTCGGAAGCCCACGCTTGCTTCAGAAGCACCCCCTATAAGCAGCACGTGCTTGGACCCTCGCTGAGGAAAGCAGCTTTGTGACCACTAACAACCCTTTCTGCTTGTATTAGCAGCATCATTGACCACACTTGCCTCTAACTTCTGGACATTTCTAAGAATCACATCCTTTTTCGTTGAGGATATTCCAAAGAATAGGAAGTTGAGAGGAGTTTGTAAGGCCGGAGGACAGTGCTCATTTGGATGTGCTCTCTCTGGGATGTCTGTGCAAAACTAGTCGGTCTGGTGGTCTGACCGTCTGGCTTTGTCATGAAGCCAGGGAGCTCCTGAGACACGCTATTTCCCCCACCCCAAGGTAAGATGCCCATCCAGGGTCAGCATGGACCAAGCAAAGCCCAGTGGGGTCAAGGTCTGGTCCCTACTCCCCCAGAGCCCACAGGGCTTCCCTGCATCTCTACCCTCAGGCCTCTCCAGTCACCAAACCACACTTGCCCAATCCTGACTGCTTTCGAAACCCATGAAACACAGTGAGTCCGCCTCCCTTCTCCCTCCGAGGACTAAGGATCCTCCATGCCTTGCTAAGTGTCTTCTCCATGTTCAATAAGCCATGAACTTGATGATCCTTCTCAGTCAGTGACCTCACTTAGCAGTCAGTGCTTTTCCAAAGTGGTTGCCAAAGCTCTAACTATTCCCTAGGGCTGGGCCCAGCATCAATGGAGACTGAAAGGAGGCTTCTGGAACGTGGGCCAGGTGGCCGCAGCCCCTGCTGGCTACGCTCCTTGGAAAGGCTCACAGGATTCTCTTGGCTCGGCTCCTGCCTTTCCTCAGGCTCACTCTGTGCACACTGGCAATGCAGAAGTGCCAGCAGCCCTGTCCACATTAGGCTGCTTTGAGCCTCCGCTGGGTCTCACACCAGACAGACCTCTCTGTAGACAGTTTGGCTCCGCTGCTCTAGACTAACAACTCCTTTGAGTCCTTAAGGCTCATCCCAGGCATAATCTCCTTCCAGAAGCCTGCATCCTGTCCTCCTTCCCCCAGACAAGTTAGCTGTCCCTCTTCATGGCTCCGAGCATGAACGCCACCCATGCTCTCACTCCCCTGTGCAACTGTTGATGTGGCTGGCTTGTGAGCAGCTCGAAGACAGGGAGTGTATCTCATCCACCGGGACTCTCTCCCGCCAGTCCAGAGCCCAGCACGCGGCAGGCATTCAATAAATGTCAGCAGCCTGCACAAAGACATCAGCCAGCATGCCATGGGGTGCGCAGCTCTATTTCTGAGTTTGTTTACGGTATCTAGGTCACCAGACCACTTTAGACAGTGAGTTTCCCAGAGCTTGGGGCAGAACTTCTCTGGACTGATAAGCAGAGAACCCTCTGCAAGGCCGTCTGAGGGGGAGATGGCGCAGCTCACCCAGCAGCAGATGTCTAAGAGCCGGATGCCGCCTGCTCTTTCGTAACCTAGCCTAGATCCGGGTGCTGGGCTCCTTCCAGCCACTGGGGTAAGGTGGTGGGCGGTCAGGGGGGAGGACCTCTGAGGTTCACTCTGATTTACTTCCCATGGGATCGGACAGGAGGAAGAAGAGCAGGCTGGGATCAGACTGGCCAGCCCAGTCTCATGTATAATCTGAAGCTTCAGAAATCCCTGGACCTCCTACCACGAACTGTGAAGGGAGGGACATCATTTGCCTACTCCCCTCAAAGCAGAGGAAATGCCCCAGATGTGAGATGAAAGGCTGGAAGGAGCATGGGCATTCCAAAAGCACAGCAGCCTTCGCTGGCTGGCAGACTTGAGGATTTAGGCAGGACAGAAAAGTCTGAGCTCCCTCAGGTTTGCAATTTGAAGAGCTAATAACTGGTGAAACAAGCAACTGGGATGAAGGGCCAGAGCCCGGGCTCCATCCCTCAGCGGGCCCAGCGCCTCATACAAGGGAAACTGGGTTCTCAACCAGGGCCCCACTGCAGGCATCCACCACCGTCATGATGTCGCACACAATGTTTTACAAGCACAGGCACATGTTTTCTAGGGAAACAGGTCCTTATCTTTCACGTTCTCAAAGACCGGCTTTAAGAACCATTTCACTGGACCGTATACTCCTTGCAGGAAGGAATGAGTGCCTTCCCTCAGTGAATCCTCGGTGCTGACCCCGGGGCTCGTGCTAGAGTGGGTGTTCTAAAATAGCCCGTTGAGTGAGGTCAGGATGGGGGTGGGAGACAAAAGAAGGAGCAGTGAGGAAAGAGATGGCAAGACCCCCTGGCCCCCCCCAACAGGTGAGGAAAGAGATATGGGCAACCCAAGGGTCTAGCCCCGCCCCCTTAAAATGCCCAAGTCCTTGGGTGACCCAGGCATTTGCCAGCAGGCAGGGCGACCACTTCTCCAAGAACATATGTAAAAAGGCCAGAACTCCCCTGCTGACCTCAGAAGAAAACAGACTTCTGCCCCGAGACGGGAGGGGCAGAAGGAGCACAGCACCAGTGCGGCTGGAAAGGGAGGGGGCAGGAGACAAGGCTCCCTGAGGAGGCGGCACACATTGGAGGAAAGCCCCCGGAGAACACCAGCACCCCTCCCCCCAATAATAAAGCGAATAAAGCCTCCGCATTCCCCAGATATCGATCAGGAATGCTCCCCGGGTGGCCTGGGTGTGAATCAGCAACAGCACTGCTTCTCCAGCAGGTGTTCTGGGGACTGCAGGGCCAGCCGGCCACCCATCGGGCCCACAGCCTGCAGAGCAGGTGAAGGAGATGGGAGATGGGGGCCAGGCAAAGTGCTGGAGCCAGCTCGCGCATTCGGTAAACTGTTAAATTGTCAGGAATACTGCAAGCCAGGAGGCATCACATCAGTAGCCTGGAATCTGTCATGGTAGAAACTGTAAATGGTACAAATAGTAGCCTTTTTTTTCCTTTTAGGAGGGCCACTTTTTTGGGAAGAACCCAATTGGACTGAGTCAAATGTGACACTGGAGCGTGACAGCCACCGCTAAGGAGGAGAGAGAGGCTACAGAGGAGTTGGGGACACAGCCCCTCCTCCATTCCACCAAGGGCTCTTTCTCTGGTTCCTCATGCCAGGAAACTGGCCCCCAGCATGTCACCATGGTCTCATTGGACGACTGTCACTCTGGCAGTGTCAACCCAAACTCCTGTCAGCAGTCGGACAGGCACGCACCGGGGACAGTCCCAGCAGAGGGGCCCTGGACCTGCAGCACTCAGCTGGGGCTTGAGGAGCCAGCATGCAGGCCAGGCCACCGCTCAGAGCCAGCCAGCCCCCTCCCCAGGCTCGCGGCACGGCCCCTCCCTCCCTGACACCCCTTTCCCTTTGGCTCTGGATGTGCTCCCACAAAGCCCCCAAACGTAATTCTTGGCTATTTCCAGCTCCCAGGCACTGCCCACTGCCAGCTCCCTGGAATGGAGATGCAATTAAGCCGGCCCCAAGAGCCCTTCTTGATCCACAGTCCGAAGGCCACAACCCAGACAGGCCAAGCAGGGAGAGCCAGGAACACACCTACCTGGCCGGGCCCCCTCAGGCTCATCACGCCCTGGGGAGACAGAAACAGATTGCAGCTCTGCTTGCAGGAGAGAGGGGGTCGCCTATGCAGAGTGGGGAGCCTGCTCTGCCTTGAGACTTGGCCTCGTAGGCCAAGAAGAGGTCAGGATAGACTCCTTCCCATCAAGCAGCCCCCCTGCCCCAGTCAGGTCCACCTCTAGTAATAAGGAAAGTTCTGAACCTTCACTTGAGTCCCCTGTGCCCAGGACCAGATCGGGAAAGAACTCTCAGCCTGCTTCAGTGGGGGTGAGAGAGGCCACAGCCAAGGCCCCCAACCCAGACCAGGGCAGGCTGCGGGAACACAGAGTGTTCCAAAGGTGTCATGGAAACACCTTTGACATTAGGGATAACCTTCTGAGCCCAGCCTTCAGGACGGATGCAACTCCCTGCTGCTTCCCTATGGCCAGCTGCCTCCTCCTGGGCCCTGAGCTAGTATCACAGGGGGTCCAGGGACCCTGTGCTCCCTGCTCCCCTGGCCCACTTCAATGCCTCAGAGCAGGGCCGTGCTGTCACCCTTGCTCACAGCTGCCTGGCCTCACCAGCGAGGACAGACAACCATTAGGGAAAAGACAAAGGACCTTGAAATTCATTTCCTCTTCCAGCATTAGGACCCTAAGGGCAGAAACCAGGTCACCAGCATCCCTGCTGCCTCGCTGCTCCTGGCGTCTTCTGGGTCCTGCATTTCGAACAGGAAGGTGGGAGTGCACTGAGGCCAAGACCCAAGGGGCGCTCTGCACCCACTCAGCACACCTACCAGGAGCCTGATGCTCCAGGGGTCCCATGGCCCCTTGTTTCCAGACTTGGAGGTAGGATTTCCCAGGAGGAACTGGCACCACCCCACTTTCTAGTAACTGATGGGGCAGAAAAGCCAACGTGAGGACAGCGGGAAGGGAGGTGAACGACCACTTCTCCAGGGCTGACTCCGCCCTCTGGGCCAGGCCCTGACACACTCACAGCGTGACCCTCCCAACAACCCAGCCAGGAAGAAATCCTTCAGAGAGCAAAGCTGGAAATCCCACCCAGGGCTGTCTGACTTTGAAGCCAGTAACTCACACTGCCTCCCACATACCATCCGCCCAAGAAGACAGGGGGGTCAGTGGGGTCAGAGGTGAACAAACTAAGTGGCTACCACAATCAAGTCTGTGAGCTTAAAGAATGGTCCTTGTGCTCAGGAGCCCGAGGGTCAGGGGTCAGACCACAGAATGGGCACTGCCTCTCCCCCGGGCCCCTTCCCTACGGCCAAGGGGACAGCCTCCTTCGGCTCGGGAGTGCAGACTCTGAGGGAAAAGGTGCAAAGCTGGGCGTGCTCACCTGCCACCTCCACAATCTGGTGCCGAGCAATGTCGTAGTAAGGGTCATCCCACTTCAGGTGAGTGACAGGTTCTGGGGAGCTGCTTTTAGAGTCATCTGAGGGACAGGGCAAAGTCACGGGATAAGCTGGGGGGGCTGGCACAGCATTCTCCCAAGACTGGTGCTCTTTGCCCCCCGCCCCCAGTAACGCTTGTGCTCCCAGCCCTACTCTGGCGCCCACCCTGCCCTCCCGCAGTCTCCCTCCAGCGGGAAGGGGTTCTCCGTCTAAGGTGCTGTGGCTGCCTGAGACCCGGCGGTGCCCACCTGACTTGGGGAAGTCGGGCATTTCATCCGACGGCCAGTTCTTCTCATCGATGGATGCCAGCTTCAGCTGGTTCAGAGCCTGGCTGGTGTCATCCAAGGTCACGTCGTCCTGCAGGTCTGAAAGTGGGTCCATGGCCGAGCCTGCGCCCCACAGCTTCACCCCACAGAACCTGAAGGGAAACCTGGGGGAGAGCAGTGGGGTGGCAGGTCAGTGATACCCTCTTTCCACCTATAACCGCTACGGCAAGGCTGCGACTCCCTTCTCCCTCGTCCCTGTTCCTCAACACTCCTCATCCTTGCCAAGAGTTCCATGTGGCTCCTGGTCCTCCTGGCGCCACAGTTTGTTGGCACGTGGCCAGAAAAGGCAGCTGGGACTGAGGATGGCACAGCTCAGCGCCTGCCTTCAAGTCCTCCCGCTGGACAGGGAGGGGTCGTGCCAAGCCCTGCACTGCCCACCACCCAGCCGTTCAGTCATGCAGTCGCAGCTGCAGAGGGTACAGGCCTGTGCCCCCTCTCCTCAGGGGTCACAGAGCACAGAAGTCTTCAGGTCCCAGCAGCTATGGGGTAAAGGCAGTAGAAGGACCCAAGGAGCGGAGGGATGCTCCGAGCCTCCAAAGGGCAGCTGTGGCCTGGCTGCTCCATCTCTGACCCCGGTCCTGGGGAAGAGGAGGTGGCCAGAGACCACAGCATCCCAGAAAATAGGCCATAGCCGACGTCCCCTATGGAATTTGCCCCAGGACAGGAACCAAGAGCAGAGAATGGAATCTGCCTGTCAGTAACAGCAGAAAATCTGAAAGCTCCTGGGTCGCCCCCCACCCCCAGCCCACTCTGATCTGTGCAGAGCTCCAGACCCTAACTTCAAGATGGCAAAGGTCAACAGAGGGCCACAGGGATCAGAGTGCACAGGTGGGAAAGGGGGAAGTTCACGACATCATCAGAGTGCTGAGATACAGGAGGTGAAAAAGAGCAGGCAGAGAGGGAGAACAGTCAGACACTGGGTCTGACTATAAGGCAGCGGGGCTGCATGCACCATTTGCCCTCTGCAGTAACGGGAAGAAGCACTTCCCTCTCCCATCACCAGCCTACCACACGGGTGGTGAGGGAGGGGATATTCAATTCAACCCCCTCAGTGCAGCCCCAAAGAAGAGGCTGCCTAAGCTTGCTGCATTCCTGAGTCCAAAAAATGACATATATGGTCAGAGAACCCGCAGGGCAGATAAGGAGTGCAGACAAGACCAGGCACAGGTCCGGAAAGGAGAGAACTGCCAGCCGGGATTCAGACCCGGAGCCCCTCTGACGTGACAACCTCCTGCACATGTCACAGCCGCGGACTCTGGATGGTAAACTGGCTCCCTGTGCCTAGCAACAACCATCCAGTTACCAGGGCAACCACACTGATTCAGTGGCAAAAGCTGTTTCAAGCTCCTGAGCCAAAGCTGAGCAGCCAAAGAGCGCCCCCAACCCCCCAAAAAATCTTTTTCCTCTTCCTCTCCTCTGGCCTTTTCTGCTATCCTTATTCACTACTTCTGCTTGCCACCAAAATATAAGTCTCTTCCCATGAACCTCTACTATTTGGGAATGCAATTCTCTCCATGAGCACTACTGTGCCCCTCACCCCAGTTCCCCCATTTCCCTTCTACCCTCTAAGGCAGGTGCACCCCAGTCTTGAGAAATCCGCCCCTGATTCACCGACATACTCAAGAGGCTGTGAGGGCTCGGCCAAAGGACACCCACCCCCGCCCCCACTGAGTATCAGGGACAGAATTCAGGCCAAAGTAACCCAAAGGCTCCAGACCTGAGCCTTTTCTCTGTGCCCTCCTTCTGCCTGGGCACCAAGAGCTGCTTCAGCCCAGCCCACAGCCATTCAGAGGAGTCTTTCTGCACACAGCAGACGCTTGATACAATGGAAAAGGCACTCAATGTGGTATTTGGAGAACTGGATTACAGTCCTGCCTAAACCAGTGAGTGGCAAAGATGCTGGACAGCCCTTTTCCTATCTGGTCCTAAACTTCCTCATCTACAGAAGTGAAGGTTCAGAAAAAGGACTCATGGACATGGATGCCACCGTGATGACTGCAGGGGAGAAGGGGTGGGTGGAGGTGGAAGAGGGTATAAGAGAATAAATGGTTATGGAAAAATCCAATTAAAAAAGAAGGGAGGGATCTTCCCAGAAATAGAATTCGCCAGTGCTCTAAAGTACTTGTGCGGAAGTGAACAGGATTAGAAGGAACAGCTACAAACTGAAGTATGTGTGAGGGAGGGGGAGGGCCACCCTCTGAAGGGAGCCAAACTTGAACTCCACCTCTTTTCCAGTAACTCCTCTATTTTGTCAATTCTCCCAGAACTGACACCACCACTACCACACACACACACACACACACACACACACACACACACACACACCAACCTCCTTTTCCAGAATAACTAATCACTGTTGTTCCCACCTCCCAGCTGGACTGGCCTCTCTCACCACCCTCCAGCCCACAGCTGTTGTCCGCCCCCCTTCTGCCACGGTGAGCCTGGAAGCTTAGCTCCCTCACTGGGACGGTGAGCGAAGCTAGTGATGGAAAGTATCCTGGCAGCCTAAGACTCCAGGCATCTATGAACCCTGCTCTACTCTGCAAAATACTCCTTACTGGAAGAATAATGTTTTCCCTTCTCAGTAAGTGAAAATCTCCAGACTCATGTTATGCAGTTTTTATGTAGAGGTTTTAAGTTCTGGACTTCTATGAAATTCTGATGAAATTTATTATCTTTTTCCCTAAGAAAAATCAGCACTTGCATGAAATCTTGCATGGAATTTTAAGGGGTTTACATGCTCTCTGAGAGACCCTGATTAAGAACTCCTGACCCATTCAGAACTACATCTGACACGTGTAGATAGATGCTCAGTCACTTGTTGAATGACTGAATTAATTCATCCCCTGAGAAGGGAACCAACATTTGTTGAAGGCTGTATAGCACCATGAACTAGACGCACATTATCTTTTAACTTCACATCTGCACCAATAAGACATGAACTACTAGGCCCATTTAACAGTGTGAGGAAATTGAGCTCCAGAAAAATAAGCAAATTGTATAGGGTCATTCAGCAGAGTCAAGATTTTAACCCCTATCTGTCTAATGTGGTCTAACTGTGCAGGTCAATCCTTCAATACTTCTTTAAGTGACTGTCATTCGTGCAATTCTCCAGATTCAGAAAGGCTCTACAAAAAGGCAAATGAAAGCCTCTCCCCTAATCTCCTTAGAGAATAATAGAGATAACAACTTGAAATCACATTCTCTAGTGTGGGGATTGTCCTACTAGGAGCTCCAGAATTGTGAGGCGCAATCCTACAATACAATCGCAAGACTTTCTACTACAATGACGTTTGCACAGAGCTCCATGGTTTACAAAACCTGGATTGGGTGCACTGATTATGAAATAGATGAAAGTATGGCTTAATAATAGGTGGCAGGGTGGAACACTTCTGCCTCAAGTTTTTCTTCGCATTTCGCCAGATCGGACAAGGGAGAGAGTTCCCTTTCTCATGGGCTTGCTCCATGATGCCGATCCGACCTGAGCTGTGCACTAGGGAGAGCAGGAGGAAGGCAGTAAAGGAAGCTAACTCACTGTAGATCAGGGAGTGGGGCAGAATTCCCCAGCAGGAAGGCGAGGCTCCCAGGCCCCATTGCACCCGTGCTCCCTTTTTCGGATCCTGTAGAATCCTCCCCATCCAGATTCCATCTCTTCAGAGGATCAGGCCAGCCCCCCCCTCCCCCCACTACCCTGGGAGACCCGCGCCCAGCAGCTCACCCTGGTCCGGCAATGCTCCCTTTGCCACGCCTGTCAAAGCTCGGCAAACATCCGGCTCCGCTGTAGAACGAGAACCACCCCCTCCCTGTCTCCTCACTCCCCAACCACTTCCGCCACACCTCCAACCTACTTCCGACCAGTTCCCGCGTCCAAACAAGGCTTTTCCTGGAGCCACACCCACTTCCTGTACGTGCAGGTCTGGGTTGAGAACAGCAAAACTGTCCGACTCGTCCCTCTCGAAGGGTGACGACTGGGACAATTAGTTCCCATTCTCCATACTCGAGTCTCTGGTGGGCCTCCGGAACCCTAAATTCGTATTGTTCTCTAACAGAGTTTTGTTTCCCCAGTATTGCCAAAGTCCCGGTCCTGTGCCCCAATGAGGTCTAACTTTTAGGACTCGTTTCTGAGAGTAAATTAGGCAGTCTATGACTGTTTCCGGGAGGAGCGGAGAAGATGATGCTCACTTCCGGCGAAGGGAGGCTCTTAGACCAGGGATGGAGGAGGCGGCGGAGCTGCTCTTGGAAGGGGAGAAGCTGCACTTCGGTGAGTGACCTGCGAAGTCGCCGACCTACCCTGGCCTAGGAACACCTGACATTTTCTGGTCAACCCTCTTCCCCCGACCCTATTCTTTCTGAGCTCGGGCACCTCTCCTGGTGCCCTCAGAGTCCCCGGGGGCTTCTTCACAGCCCTCAAACCTCTTTAGATCTCCCAGGGGCTTCGTTGGTGCTCTTAACCGATCTCTCAGACTCCTGAGGCCAGAGAAGACGTGCGGTTTCCTCCCCACCCACGACCTCTGGGGCCGCTCCCTCACTGCCTTCCGATCTCCCTGCAGCCCCGGAGCCGAGCATGGACCCGGGCTCAGGATGGAGCCTGTCCAGAGAAGGTCGTGCCCAGGACCTCAAAGACTCCCCACCCTGGCCGATCCGAGCCGTCCTCGCCCTAAAGAACCTCCCACGGGGTTTAGCCCTTGGCCCGTCACTGATGGAGAAACAGCGCTTGGGGGTCTGGTGTGTCGGGGAGCCTCTGCAGCCAGGAGTACTTTGGGGGCCGCTGGAAGAGGAGTCCGACTCCGAGCAGAAGGGCGAGGGGGTGAAACCATGGCAGAAGAAGGTATGGAGGGATAGGGTGGCTAATCACTACCACTGAACTTTTGGGAGCGGTTCAGACAGCTGCTGGACAGCTCTACAGTTTGTTAGAGGAAGCAGGGCATTTCAGGAGATGGGACGCGGTTTAGTTCCTTCTCCCCAGAGCTGTCCCTTCCCCTCACCTGCAGCAGTTAAGGAATCAGGAATCGAGATGCAAAAAGTTGGTAAAGCTGGATTAATACAGTCTCATTATTGAGGAAAGTCTAGAGCAAAGATTTTGCTCTTAAAGAGCCATGGGGTCATATCCTGGCCTTAGTAGTTAAGCTGCTTAAATGATATGTCTCATTTAACTTATATAAAATAAAGGAATGACTGTTCCCTTCATTTTAATCCTCCACATTTATTTGGAACAATAGATGAAATAGCACAGCTAAAGGGTTTTATTGCATAAGGGGTACTGAAAAAAAGAGTTGATGCTTGACTCTTCCTACTCCTTTTTCGGTTTGGTACTCACTGGAGGGCAGCAGTGTGTTCAGTTTAGTGACTGTCTACACCCTGGTAGAGAGGTGAGGGGACCGCCTTTCTGGTCTTTACTGAATGAAAAACCAGCACAGTCCTGTATAGGTAGAGCCAGAGACCAGTAGCTGGCCAGGGGCTTCATCTCAGGCCTCTCTCAAGAGAGGCTACATCTATTTTGTTTTTGTTTTTTTCCCCCCACTCTGGCCTCCTCAAACACATGGGAGAAGGACTTTTATTGGTTTATTTCAGGACGTGTCACTAGGCCCATGGGGAGACGTGTGTGCTTGTGAGCAGAGTTCAGGCTGGACCAGGTAAGTTACAGGAGAATGCGTAGTAAAGGCTTTCTGTTGTGGCGTGGGCTGGAACTGGAAGCCAGCTGTAATCCCCCACCCAGTGGTCTTTTGCAGTGAGTGTTCCAAAGGCATGCGGTCCTTTAGGACTCGGACTGACCAGGAGCTGGGGCTTTTAGGGAGGACCACTCGGAGAGGGTCTCTTGAGCTAGCTCTTGCTCTGCTTTGCAGTTTGGTGCAGCGGGGCAGGCTGGAGGGTGAGGGAAACGTGGCCCCGGTGTGGATCAGCGAGAGGCTCCACCTGCAGGTGTACCAGGTCGTGCTGCCAGGCTTCGAGTTGCTGCTGCGGCCCCAGTCCCCCTCTGAGGGCCTGGGCCCCACCCAGGCCAGGCCAGAGGAAGAGGCAGCTGTGACTGTGGTGACAGAAGTGGAATCTGCTGTACAACAGGAAATGGCCTCTCCTGGGGAGGATGCAGGAGAGCCTTGTACAGGTATGAGTCAAGTAAATGCTGACTTCCCAGATTATCACCAAAACAACTTGCTGCTAAGACAAAGCAGAGCTTACAGCCCAAGAAGGCAAGGTAGACACTACAGAGTCCCTGTAGCTTTTCTGAGGGGGCAGGGCAAAGCCTGGATGTGCGTTGAAGGTTTGAAGTCTGGTGTAAGGTGTGGGGTGGGCTTAGGTTTCAATTTGCATTGGATAAGGAGCATGATGTAATGGTTTAGGAGTTGTTGGCACAACAGGTCAGAATTTTCAGACAAGAGGTTCAGAGTCTTGAGGTAAAAATTGTCATTTGGTAAAGAGTAATGAGTCTTTTCCTTAAAATGAACAGTATAGATATTGGCAACTCTTATCTTCCTGAAAATTTCTGGAAATAGTAAGGTCCTGTTGATGAAAACAGCAAGCTGTGTATAGGTTTCCAATCTATTACGTTTTTTCTGTCTGGGGTGGGGACTGGGTTCCTTTATTTTCAAGTGAGCTAAGGTGAAGAGGAGGTGGTCTCAGCTCATCCTAATTGCATGTCTCCAGGAGACAGCTGGGATGGCCTTACTCTAGGAATCATCTGGATGCCTGGGGCTCTGTGATTCCCAGAAGTGCCTCCCCAGGAAGCACCTGAGGCTGGGCAGGAAGAGAAATGGGGCATGTGGCTCATGCTCTAGGGCAAAGATTGATGTCATGGCTCCCACCAAGGTCCAGAGGCTGAACAGGGGAGACATATATTCCTGTAATTGCCTTGTGACACCCACCGTCCCCATTTGCTATCATCTCTCCTGACTCCAGCACTCCACTCTTGCTCCACAGACCCTGGTCTCCAGTCACCCCCCAGCATCCAGGCAGAGAGTATGGATTACTCCCGACTTAAACCCCAAACCCAGGAGCAACTTTCCCAGGAGAGCCAGTCACCTGGTCCATTGTCTCAGGGTGGCAGCGTGGACGAGGAGGACCCGCCCCAGACACAGATGCCAGCTGAGCCTCAAAGCAGCTCCACTCCCCAGCGAGGCCTCCAGAGCAGCGAGGCTCCTTCCTCATCTTCTGTCAGCGGCACCCAGGTGTACGCTCACCTGGTTAAGATATCATGTAGCCCCAGTGACCCGTGCCGACCCAGAGCAAAGACCTCAGAGCCCAGCGCCCAGCAAGATGGGGAACAGCACCCCAGCTTCTCTGCACGCTTGCGGAGCCCTCCTGTCCCAGTGGGAAGCTCCCCGAAACAGGGGCGACGGTACCGGTGCGGGGAATGTGGCAAAGCCTTCCTGCAGCTGTGCCACCTGAAGAAGCACGCCTTTGTGCACACGGGCCACAAGCCCTTCCTCTGCACAGAGTGTGGCAAGAGCTATAGCTCAGAGGAGAGCTTCAAAGCCCACATGCTGGGCCACCGCGGAGTGCGGCCCTTTCCCTGCCCTCAATGCGACAAGGCCTATGGCACCCGGCGAGATCTCAGAGAACACCAGGTGGTACATTCAGGTGCCCGACCCTTTGCTTGTGACCAGTGTGGCAAGGCCTTCGCCCGCCGGCCTTCCCTGAGACTGCATCGCAAGACCCATCAGGTGCCAGCTGCCCCTGCCCCATGCCCATGCCCCGTATGTGGGCGGCTGCTGGCCAACCAGGGCTCCCTGCGGAACCACATGCGGCTCCACACGGGGGAAAAGCCCTTCCTGTGTCCTCACTGTGGCCGAGCGTTCCGACAGCGGGGCAGCCTGCGCGGGCACCTGCGACTGCACACGGGGGAGCGCCCCTACCGCTGCCCACACTGCGCTGGTGCCTTCCCCCAGCTGCCCGAACTGAGGCGCCACCTCATCTCCCACACCGGGGAGGCCCACTTGTGCCCCGTGTGCGGCAAGGCCCTCCGAGACCCGCACACGCTGCGTGCTCATGAGCGCCTGCACTCGGGGGAGAGGCCCTTCCCCTGCCCCCAGTGTGGCCGTGCTTACACGCTGGCCACCAAGCTGAGGCGCCACCTCAAGTCCCACCTGGCCGACAAGCCCTACCGCTGCCCCACCTGTGGCATGGGCTATACCCTCCCCCAGAGCCTCAAGCGGCACCAGCTCAGTCACCAACCGGGGGTGCCCTCCAACCCCCCTTGTGTGCCTCCTGCTGTTTCTGAGCCCACTGTGGTCTTACTGCAGACTGAGCCGGAATTGCTGGGCACACGCAACGAACAGGCCATCTCCCCAGCCCAGGACGTCTTCGAGGTCACCATTTCTGAGAGCCAGGAGAAGTGCTTTGTGGTCCCGGAGGAGCCGGGCCCCGCCCCCAGCCTGGTGCTCATCCCTAAGGACATGGGCTTTAGCACCTGGGCGGAAGTGCTGGAGGTGGAGACAGGCACCTGACACCCTCGCCTGTCCCTAGCACAGCTCTATATAAAGACTGTTTTCTGCGTGTCGGGTCTTCTTTCTCATTGGGTTGCCCGGTGGAGACTAGGGTCTGCTAGGAGAGGTGGGTCAGACTTCCCTTCCTGCTCATGGACCACCACATTGATTCCCAGTACTTCAGGTGAACCTCGTAAGATGTCTGTCCACTTCGAGTACAGCTGTTCCGACTCCCTAGGAACCTCACAAATGCATGTTTAAGCACTTCAGCAGTGGCCTGCTCTGGGAGGTGGTCACGTAGCGGGTAGCTGCTGCCCTGCGGGGTGTTCAGTGCTGGGGTGGCCCCTCCCATGGAGCTCCCCGAGGGACGGGCTCTTCTATTAAGAACCAAACTGAGCAACTGT